GCCCCCCGCCTCTGAATCCCAGGAGGGAGGAGGACCCCCGCACAGCCCCCTCCCCAGCGTGTAAGTGGCTCTGCTATTGTGCTTTCCTGGAAGTGGGGATCCCCTTGTCCCTCCTCCCTCCCCTGTTGTCTGGCCGTCGTCAACCCCACCTTGACTGAGTGTTGAGCCCGTCCTTGGGCTCTGGCCCTGCGGGGCAGGCTCTCTCGGGCCCACGGGGCAGACGCTGCATACCAATTTGCCCTGCACCGCCTGTCCCGGAGACGGAGCCCGAAGGCCTGCCATGGCGGCTGTGTCGAGGATGCGTGGCTCCTGCCGTGGCGGGAGAGTGTGGGCAGGATCATTACTGCCCCCAACCCGGGCCCCTGGACAGGTCAGCGCGCCCTGCCCCGGTGCCCACCGCTGCCCCCCATCCGCCCTCCTGCCACTTCCCGCCGACTCCCCTGCCGTGCCTCCCGCAGCCCTCCCATGCCGTTCTACTCCCTGCCTCTGAGCCGAACATGGTAATAAAAGCTATTATTGAGCGCTTACTGCATGCCAAGCAGCGTGCTGAGTTGGCACCTCCTGTTTATAGCCTATCTCCTCTTCGGGATGGTGAGAATCAGCCAGGCCCCGTTAGCATCCCAATTCTACAGGCCAGGAGACCGAGGGCCGGCAGCTCCAGTGACTTCCTTGCCCCATAGTCACATGGCTAGAGTCTGGTAGGGCTGGAAGTGGAACCTAGGTCTGGCTTCTGCATGTTTTTAAAGCTTCCCAGGACTGCAAAGACACCAAGATCACAAGCCCTTTCACCGGCTTTGCGGGGCTGATGTGTAACCATCTCGATATCCCCAGCTCCCTCCCTCCCCTCCACACACAATTCTGTTGACCTGGGGAGGCGCTGGGGGTGGTGAGAGGGAGACAGCCCTGCGGGGAGCTGGGAGGAACACCCTCCACCAGCCCTGTAGGGAGGCTCCGACGACTGTACCTGCAGCCTAAGCCTCCTCCCCCTGCCCACCACCGTTGGCAGCGTTTGTGGGTCTGGCGTGGTGGAACGGTGACCACGGACGGAGTGGGCTGGCTGCGCTCCAAGGCCCTCCCAGGAGATGTGCAACCCCCGGGGAGCCGTGTGCAGTATGTGTGGGGAGAAATGAGCGTTTCTATAAAAGGAAGGCTGGGTGAACGCAGACTCCGCGAACAGAATTTTACCCACTTGGATTACTAGCTGGGCGTAGGGCGCGGTGCCGTGGGAGGACATCTGCTTCCCTCCCTCGGACCCGACCCCCAGTCCACACCCACAGGGCAGGTGAGGCTGATGGAGGGAGCCCCAAGCGGGGACCCAGCACCCCCAGGGATTTGAGGTCAGCCCTGACTCCAGCGCCCCTCCCTCCCCGCCTTCTAGGAATCCTTGAGGTCCCAAGGATACCCCAGGGGACACATTCCACTCCCACCAGCCTCCTGCCACTTGGGACAGCCCACCCCTTTCTTCCTCTAGCCCCCTAGCCTGGGGCTTGACTCCTTCCGCCGGGCCACCCCCACTCTGCTGCCTTCTCCCCTCCACCAGTGCCATGTGACTTTGCCCTACTCTGAAACCCATCCCTGACACCTGTCCCCAAGGTACCCTGCCGGCTCTCCCCTTCCCATCCACACTTGTCAGCTCTACGGTAACCAAGGGGCTCCTCACCCCAGGCCTCATCAGACCAGACAGCTGGCAGCTCTCCTCCCTGGCACACACCCCAGCCCTGTGACCCCAAGCTCTGACACTTCAGGGGCCCCACTTCTATCTTTAAGTCACAGGCGAAAGAGAAAGAGAATAATGAGGACTTTATTCATGGTCACAGAATACCCCCGGGAAGGGGAAGGAGCTGGCAGCAGGTAGTAGTATCTACGACTGGTCAGCTGAAGAAAGTGAAGATGAGGTACAGGAAGGGGAAACGTATGAGAGCGTTTACAGTGTGCAGTGCCAGCTGTGGCCCCCAGCAGACAACAAGGCACAGTGGGGCTTGGGGACTGGGGGAGGCCAGCCCTGTCCGCCTGTCCTGGAGGTCAGGAGGCTTGTGAGTGGAGTCCCGTAACCCCCACCGAACCCCTGTACAACGGGGGTTCCATTTATGAAACCCCCAAAGTGTGGGGCATCTCAGAGGCCCCACAGCTGAGCGTCATATCAGGGACATTCCCACATGACGGGATCCTCAGAAAGAGCCAGTGCCAGCCGAGCAGAACCGAGGGCCAGGGCAGGGGGCCTGGTGTGCCTCCTGCCCGCCGTGCCCCTCACCTGGCAGGGGTGGCTGCCCGACCCAGAAGCTCCAGGGGCACCAGGAATGGGTTCAGGGGACAGATCCCAGCTGCTTGCCAGGACGATTTCAATTCGCTGGGCTCGGCCTTCTTGGTGGCTGGGGGGGTCTCCTCTGGTGCCTTGGAGCCAGCCCCGTCCCCCTCAGCTGCAGGCCCCAGGCTCCCTCCAGCGGGGCTGGGCTGGGGGGCTGTCAGACGTAAGTACGTCTCCGTCATATGCTCAACCAAGGCTGTGCAGGGCAGGAGGGGCAGCTCCTCTGGAAGTGACATGAGCAGGTCGAGGACCACAGCCGACTCTAGTGACGGATGGAGGGGAGGGGTAAGGAGACACCCTTACCTGCCGCCAGGGACCCCGATCCCTCTGCCTCTGCGCCCTCCCTCATCCTTCTCACCAGCTGCTGAGAGCTCAGGGCTGCGGCCACTTCGGGAGAGAGAGGACAAGTACTTGTAGATCTTCTCAAAGTCCACAGCGAAGTCTTCTTCAGTGGAGGGACCAGCCGAGGACGCAGGTTTCTCAGGGGCAGGGTCAGAAGTCTCGGGGGCGGAGCTAGGTGCCTTGGGGGCGGAGCTAGGTATCTCAGGGGCAGAGCCTTCCTGCCCTCCAGGGGCGCTCAGGAGCAGCGGCTTTCCACGGGCCTGCGTGGGCTTGGGGGGCTTGGAGTGCAGGAGGGTGACCGGTTCCGTGGCCGCGATGGTGAGCACCTGGCAGGCAGAACAATCAGGGAGTAAGGGAAGCTAGAAAGTCCTCTCACCGTCTACACATTCCCCCATCCTCTCGGCCACCCTAAGATGCTGCTCAGACAGCAGATGGCCTCAGAGCCAGGGACACTGAGGCTCGAGGTGTCCAGTGACTGATGGAGGCCACAGAGCTGGCAACAGGAAGGGCCCAGGACCCAGGTTCACATGATTTGGCCCAGTGACCCTGTCCTCTGGGACACCCCGACCTGCCCTGGGGGATGGTCGTACCTGCGAGAAAGCCACTGCCAGGGCTTCCTCCAGTGGCCC